GGCTTTTGAGCAATATGACCCCCAGTGGGCTTCCCTTTTCATCAGTTACTCTTTGCTTAGTTGCTGTGCACTTGCCGCCTTACTCTAGACCTGATCTGCTTGGAAGAGGAAGGCAAGGCAAAATGAAAGTTCCTGCTCCTGCTCCTTTTTCTTGTTGTTTCCCATTCCTAGGGAGAATCCAGGGGAACATCTACAAACAATTGGGAGGAGGAGAGAAGCAATGGCAGGGGAAATGAGTGGAGAGTCCCTTGGTAGGGTTCAGAATTGTAGCTGTAGAAGTACTATTGAAGCTATGCTTCATGGATGTTTTTAGGCCACCTGCTGCCCAGTTAAATATTCATCCACCCATCTACCTATAGTAGCAATTCTCTAATTCAGAAAGGTTTCTCTGTTGAAGTAGTTTGTAGTAGTCACAGGTAGCTAAGCAATTGTCTGATTTTGCTACGTGTGTTTTTAGAAACTAAAGAAGTTTGACCTGGGGAAAATGTGTAATTCTAATTGTTCATCTTGGTGGAGGCTGATTTGCAGAAACTATTTGATGTACTTATCTTGTGTCCCTGGCTATATCTTTCAATTTCACGTTTCTTGTTTATTTGTTACGAAATTACAAAATGCTTTATTTTGCCATCCTTTTGTTACACTTTATTGCTTTGGAGTCCTGTAATTGAACTCTCAGCTTGTTTCTGAGTCAGGTAGTTTATCTTCAGCCGCTGGAGGTTTGCTTTCAGAGGCTTTATTTAATGGAAGGTGAAATGCTTGGTACATGGAATGTTGGTCTGTGTCAGCACCGCCAGACATTTTGCTTTTGTTTTGTGGCTGTTAGTCCACATTGTTTACAGTATATTTGTCTCGTGTTGCTGTATCTAATAACTATTTTTCCGTACCTTCTGTATGGGTACGCTAGATCAGTGTTGAAATCACTAAGCAATTTCCAGGGAGCATCCTAGTTGTCTGTCAACCTTCCAAGTACAACTTTGAAAAATGTCTTGGAGGCCCTGGTTTATGTTATATACTCCTGCTCATAGTCTAGATGATTGGCATTACCAATGTACCACACAGGACTTCCGTAGCAGAGACCCATGGTTAAGTATGGTATATTAAACAGCACAGTGTAGCCTTTTCCAACCTCATACAGTGGACCCTCGACTTACAGACGGCTCGACTTACAGACCTTTGAAGTTACAGACTTCTCTGGCCGCAAAATTTAGGTTCGACCTGCAGCCAAAAAAAGACCAGAAAAAAAACTAAAATGGAACAAAAATGGCCAGTTACGGGATTAATTGGTTTTCAATGCATTGTAGGTCAATGGAGACTCGACCTATAGACTTTTCGACCTGCAGCCACCATTCCAATACGGATTAATTCCGTAAGTAGAGGGTCCACTGTATTTTGTAGATGAAAGATACTGGATGGATGTTAAATTGATAATGAATCATCAACAAGTCTGTAACACTGTCTCCTTATTTTGAGATGCTTAGGCTTAGATTATTTTCTTGTCTGTTTAACATGTGTGGTGAAACTGTGCCTTATGAGGTATTTGCAGTACTTGCATTTTTAAAAGAGATTACTGTAAAAGATTTGTATGAAAACACCTTTCAGGCCCAATGTTATTTTGTTGGCTTCCTGAGTGGTCACTTAAGGCAAGGCCAGCTATGTTGCATTATTTATTAGGAAACTTGAATAATGTGTTTCTATTACTTTTTAATAAAGCATTTCAGTTGGACTCTGCCAAATCCATGATACTTGGCAGAGATCCACTGGCAATCAGTTTTCTAAGGAGAGGCTGGAACTAAAGGAATAAGGAAAAAAAAGAGGTTTGGGAATGTAATACATAATACAGCACTGTGACGGTTCTTCTGAAAAAAAAAGGTGGGCTGAAACAGATTTTTCTTAGTGATGAAGTAAGGAAGCCTTCAGTCAGTAACAGTAATGAAACAAATAAGGAGATCAACACATGGATTTTTTTTTTTTGCTTTAATGGTTTCTTTGTATATGTACAAATAGGATCAGTCAACAATATAACTAATCTATTCCTATACAGTTTCTATTCCTTATCTATTCCCAAGTAAAATAAATTCTAACACCTTCTGCATTAGCTCATTAGAAGAAATCTATTTTGTTGTTGCCCAAATAGTTACTGGATTCCTGCTCCATGTAGAAATAGCCTCTAGTTATTTAAAATATTTTCATTACACCCTTCTTTAAATGTTTAAGTTTTAGAAATTCCACATATTCATGTGGACATGGTCAAAGCTCTGTCTTGGTAGATCAGTAGCATGAAATAACTCACCTTAGTTACATCAGCTTCCGAAATGGTAAAGATGGAGGTGATATTTTTCTTTGCGTTTTAGGTTACTATGAATGAAATCTTGTTCTACAGTTCCACGATATGGCTATTCTGCCCTGTATGCCTTGATATGTGCATATGTACATGTAAACAGGGGTTCCCAGTGCATTGTAGCAGATAGAGTGAAGGACTAGAACTCTGAACAGGCTCAGCCATGGAAACTCACTGGGGGGTGTGGAACTGGTAAAACCACTCCTTAAATATCTCACCTTATTGTAAGTTGGTCCCAACTTGATGGCACGGAAAACCACATGCATATGTAAATAATGATGGTAGGTAACTATTAATGCATGATTGCTATGCATGCTTATGAGTCTGTTTTGAGTAGCCAGGGGAGCGGAGTCGGTTGTGTGGAGTCAGTTGAGTTTGGATGTAATAGAGTAGTTTATGGGGAGTATGAGTGAATACTGTAAAAGTTTATACATATTGCAATTGTTTTTCTCTTCAATTTAACTACCTAACGGATTACTTTTCACTTTCTCCCACTTACCTGTGCTTTCCAATGAATTATTTTGTTTGTTCCCAAACAAAACTGTCTTCATTATTTGTTTTTAAGTTTCACTTTATGAAAGACATTTAGCAATTGCAAAAGTGAATATTACACCCACATTTAAGCAGGCTATACAGAACCAGAAGAAGCCTGAGTTTTCACTAAAGGATATCTTTTCATTCAGTAACCAAATAAAATATGGATATGAGCTGGTGACACTGGCTGGGTAGCACAGTTAAAGAGCTACACCAAATACTTTGGAGAGGTTTGGGGATGTGAGTCTAACATCTAACTTAGCAGCACTCAAAATGAGGTGGCAGGGTTTAAAGTAGAAGTACTCAAGGCATCTGCAATTACCTGGGTAGTGTGCACAATGGCAGTGATGGTGTAGTGGCAAATTTTTTGCTGATTGAAAGCTTTTTTGTGCAATTTCAGGGTGCAGGAAACATTGCTGCATTTTGTATAAATCATGTGTATCTTTAAATTGCCTTCAAGCAGTGGTAATTTGCCTTTAAGCAGTGGTAGTTTGCTAATAATAATAACATCATCACCATTGTGCACCTGGAGTTGTGCAACAGGGTTTCAGCCACTGTACGCTTGTTTCTGTACACCTTGTTCAGATAGTATACACAGTCATAATGAGAATGCACTCATTGGGCTCAATGTGAAAAATTATCCCCACGCCTAGTAGGAATTATTATTTTATGTATTTAATAGATTTATATTTTGTTTATTTAACATATTTTAGGTGCCTCTCAGAGCAAGAGCTCTCACAAAACATATTATATGGCCAATTCTAATAATAATACAGTGGTGCCCCGCATAGCGAGGTTAATCCGTTCCGGATTAACCCTCGCTATGCGGAATCGTCGCTAAACGGGTAGGGAAAACGTATTGAAACGCATTAAACTTAGTTTAATGCGTTCCAATACCTTGCTTACTTACCCGTTCAGCGAGGATTCCCCTTGCCGGCAGCCATTTTCGCGCCCTCGCTAAGCGAGGGCAGAGCGTGAAAACGGCTGCCGGCAGCCATTTCCGGGCTTCCAGCGGCCATTTTGGAGCCGCCGAACAGCTGTTTGGTGGCTCCAAAATGGCCACCGCAATACCCGATCTTCGCAATGCGGGTTTTCCCCATTGCGAAGATCGGGTATGTTTCCGTATAGCGATCCCGAAAAAGGGATCGCTATACGGAAACATCGCTATATGGTGCACTCGCTAAGCGAGGCACCACTGTAATGTGCTGTGAAGTTGATTCGAACTGATGATAGTCAGATGTAGTTTACCAGACCTTCCTTGTGGTGACTCTGAGACCATGTAGCTTGCTGGGAGCTGCACATGCTGACTCTTCTTCCCAGAGGAACACATCTCTTGACCCCTAGTTCTGTTGTCACTCCCTGAGCTATCTAGCCTCATCAGACTTGTAGGCAGCTAGCTAAAGCATACACAATAATGAAACAGCATAATTAATACAATCAGTGAACTCCAGCGATAATTATGAGCACATACGCCACAAACTTTGAAAATTTAACATCAGAATTGTAGCTGAAGCCTAAGAAACAGCCAACAGAACACAATTAAGTAAAGGCCAAAGAAAATGAATAGATTGTCCCAATAAAACAATTAGGCTGCTATAGATATAGTAGCAAAGTTGTGTTTAATTCTTGTCTTTGTATACCCATTCACAAAATTGTAGCTGAAGCCTAAGAAACAGCCAACAGAACACAATTAAGTAAAGGCCAAAGAAAATGAATAGATTGTCCCAATAAAACAATTAGGCTGGTATAGATATAGTAGCAAAGTTGTGTTTAATTCTTGTCTTTGTATTCACAGTAATCAGTGCATGAATGGAATTTCCTATGAATGAATCAAAACTCACATCTTCATGCTGAGTGATTGGAGTTCATCTCACAATGAAGTTCTTGTAGTATTTGTGCACAACTGCAATAGAAATATTTGTTATTGTTCAGGAAGCAGTTACAGGGCCTGTCAGAAATTTGCTTAAGTTCTGATATGGAACTGCAGCAGAAAGAATAAGAATGGGAATTAATAGCCAGAACTTTTAATTTTAAGGACCTTAGTAATATTCATGTAATAACTTGAAATTTTATTATCTGTGAAATTGACCTTTACATTGCTAATCATAATGTTTTCTTCCTTCTCTAGATGAAGACTGTTAGTGTTGCCTTAGTATTGTGCCTAAATGTTGGCGTGGACCCTCCTGATGTGGTGAAGACAACGCCATGTGCCCGTCTTGAGTGCTGGATAGGTGAGCCCTTTGGAATATTATCGTCTTTCTAAAGGTTTAGCCTCCACTGTCTTGTGACTGTGGGTAGAGGTAGCAATACTTCAAAGTCTGGTTCTATGTCAAAATCTAGACAAAAGCCAACTAAAATGCTAAAATGTCACATTATCTCTCTTACTGGCTTAATTTTCAGTTGCTGGAAAACAGCCCTGGATTTATTTATTTTTAAAGGCAACAGCAACAAAAATTAGATTTCGGTGCTTCTGGAAGAAATCAGGGTTCAGACTCAGGTCAGCATTGCAAAAAAGAAAATTGCAAAGCAGCATACAGAAGCTTCCCTGTATGTTGTCTGCTATATTGGTACAGTCAGAAACATACTACAGTATTAGTTGACTCTGGAGATTGCAGATGAGATAATCTCATAGTCATGTAGACCCCAATACATTTTGACAGCCACTTTGTAAATCCTTAACTCAAACTGTGCTCTCCAAATGTGTTGGATAAGAGCTTCTATTTTGGCCAGTCACCATCGCCCAATGTGTAAAATAGATGGCATGATATTCAAGCAGCCTAGTTATCAGGTTGACAGGGGAGTGGCATAAGGGACTGTTTTATCTTACTTTCATTCTGAATGCTGTATGATTGTTGTTGTTTAGTCGTTAAGTCATGTCCGACTCTTCGTGACCCCATGGACCAGAGCACGCCAGGCTCTCCTGTCTTCCACTGCCTCCCGGCATTTGGTCAAATTAATGTTGGAGATAAGGTGGCCATAATTTGCTGTGGTCCACATAGTCAAAGGCTTTTGCGTAGTCAATGACGCAGAAGTAGATGTTTTTTTCTGGAACTCTGGCTTTTCCCATAATCCTGCGCATGTTAGTAATTTGGTCTCGAGTTCCTCTGCCCCTTCAAAATCCAGCTTGTACTTCTGGGAGTTCTCGGTCCACATACTGGCGAAGCCTACTTTGGAGGATTTTGAGCATAACCTTGCTAGCATGTGAAATAAGTATGTATGATTACAATCACTCAATTGTATATTTCCTCTGCTATAGCCATGGTGCAGATGGAGAGGTATTTGATTCTAGCTCTGCAAAACCTGTATAAAATTGGCCGTTTTGGGGTAAATCCTCTGATAAAAGAAGTCCTGTAACACAGAATTCCCAAACCCCTGGTCTGTGGCCCTGTGCCGGTCCATGGCCTTGGCAGGACTGGACTGCAGAGACAGCTCTCCCGCTCCCCTGTTATAACAGCTGACTGGCGGTTTCAAAATGGCCGCCCCCTGTTTCTGGGACATATTCCTCCCTTAACGAACAGCGAAAATGGCCGCGCTATGGAGGATCTTCGCTGAACGGTGAGTTTCAAGCCCATAGGAACACATTAATTACGTTTTAATGTGTTTCTATGGGCTTTTTTGCCCCATATAGCAACGAATCCGTATAGCGACGATTTTTTCGGAACGGATTCGCTACGCTATGCGGGGCACCACTGTATTGTAATCTGACAGCACAACTGATGGTAGTCAGAAGTGGTTTACTATACCTTCCTTGTGGTGCCTCTGAGACAACACAATTAGCCTGTAATTTAATTTTTTTAAAAAGGTTTGCTGTGAAGCAGTAGAGATTTCTGATGGTTGTGTTTTGGTCAGTAATTTCGAAACTGAAGGGCAGTCTAACAAAAACAGCCCCACTGGAAGTTTTACTTTACTTTAATTTAGTTTTAAAATTAATGTGATTTCCTGGTGGCTTAATTGAAATAGTATAATTTTTCTTGCTCACTGACAAATAGCTTCTAGTAGACACTGTACTGAGGTATTCTATATAATGTGTTCCAAAGATAATGCAATAGGTATATGTAAATGTTCCAATGGCAGAAAGTGAGGAAGAATTAAAGAACCTCTTAATGAGGGTGAAAGAGGAGAGCGCAAAAAATGGTCTAAAGCTCAACATAAAAAACCCTAAGATCATGGCCACTGGCCCCATCACCTCCTGGCAAATAGAAGGGGAAGATATGGAGGCAGTGACACATTTTACCTTCTTGGGCTCCATGATCACTGCAGATGGTGACAGCAGCCACGGCATTAAAAGACTTCTGCTTCTTGGGAGGAAAGCGATGACAAACCTAGACAGCATCTTGTAAAGCATAGACATCACCTTGCTGACAAAAATCCACATAGTGAAAGCTATGGTTTTTCCAGCAGTGATGTATGGAACTGAGAGCTGGACCATAAAGAAGGCTGACCACCAAAGATGCTTTTGAATTGTGGTGCTGGAGGAGGCTCTTGAGAGTCCCCTGGATTGCAAGGAGATCAAACCTATCCATTCTGAAGGAAATCAACCCTGAGTGCTTACTGGAAGGACAGATCCTGAACCTGAGGCTCCAATACTTTGGCCATCTCATGAGAAGATGCCCTGGAAAAGACCGTGATGTTGGGAAAGTGTGAGGGCAAGAGGAGAAGGATGAGATGGTTGAACAGTGTCATCAAAGCTACCAACATGAATTTGACCCAACTCTGGGAGGCAGTGGAAGACAAGAGGGCCTGGCATGCTCTGGTCCATGGGGTCTTGAAGAGTCGGACACGACTTAATGACTAAATAACAACAAAATGTTCCACAAAACAGGAAGTAGTGTTGTAGCAGTGTTATAGCAATGCTTGGCTGTGGTCCTGGTCTCACTAATTACAGATTATGGGGAAAACACTTAAATTGGATTTTATTTATTTATTTAAATTTATGCCCTGCCCATCTACTCCGAAGTCTCCTATGGAAAATATTATAGATTCCCTCCAAACACTGGTCAGTTGAACCAGGGACAACTTCATGAGTGCCACTGTTGTCTGTATGAACATTCATTTATTTCATCATTTTTCAGTGTGAAATCAGCCTACATCTTTCATCAAGCATTTTCCAATTTATGTTGCTTTCATGCATAATAAAGTGGTTCAGAGAGTTCTATGGCTTTAATAAGGGCAGATACTTTAACAGTGTCTAGGAAATTCTGCATTGCTTCAAGGTTGTAGAATATTGTGATTAGAAGGTGTTTTTCCTCAAATGAACAAAAAATGCAGAGGCTTTTCTCTTAGTATTTTCTGGATGTTTTCTCTTAGGAGTTTACAGGGTTTGCTTGATTTTCTTAATCCATAAAGCTGCTGCAACATCAGGTTTAATGCAGTTGCTAAGAAGACGTAAAGCATTAAAAAGTGACTTTAGCATTTACTGCAGAGTTGTTAGCAGAAGCTTTCAGTTTTATGCATGCTTGTTCAACTGTATAGACATAGCTATTGTTCTATTGTTCTTTAGGAGTCCAGATGCCTCAAACAAGTAATATGACAACAGTGGAACAGTATGAGTGTTTGGAAGTGTTTTCAACAACCATTCATTTAGAATTTGTGGAAGTCATGTCACTGAGTCAGTGTTTAGTAATGATGAATCTTTTTCCCATTTACTGAAAACACTGGTGTTGTCAACAGAGAGGAAACATTGCCCCTTTACCTCTCACCAGGCCTTAAAAAAAAGCTGTTATAAAACCATGCTCCCATTTGCTTGCTCAGTGTTAGTAGCAGAGGACCCATTCAATGATATTGGCTCTTCTCCATGGTTTTTGTGTTGACTTAAAGGCTGGAACATATTTTCCCCAAAGACTGTAGTTTGCAGTCTTGGTCATCCCCTTTTATTGTGAAAATGGATATGCTGAAAAATGCAGCAACTTACATATCTTTCCCCATACCTGCAGAAATGCAAACTAGTAAAAGAACTGTAAGGAGAAATGCTGCTGCTTTGCACAATACATTCTGTGTTATTGTCTCCTTGGCATATTAAGTAAGTGGAGAATGGAATGAAGGAAAGCAGAGCATTTAACATCTCTGCAGTAAATCTAGGATTGAATTGGATGTTCTGTTTTTCTCACCTGGTACCACTGTGCCTGACAGTTTCATGTCTGCCCCAGCCCCCAACAATTTTTAAAAACGTACTAGCATTTTACTAGCCTCTAAGGAAGTCATGTTAAGTTCCCAGAGAGAGAAAGCAAATGAAGGACGTTTTATGTTACACACATCCCTTTTTACCATTGGATCTTCCTCCCTGAGGCAGAGAAGGAGGAATGTCCCCAAAGGTTTCTAAGTGGCTATAGTAGAAAAATGTTCTGTTGTCACAACAATGGTTATAGGTGGGGGAGACACATCAGGGCTAGTTGGGAGAGATTGCACTTCACCAAATCAAGTACATCTCAGTCCCCTGTTGCACCTTCAGAAAGACTGAAGAAATATACAATAGTCTCATAGGATCCTTGAATTGTACAGTGTGAAGTTAAACCAGGAGCCCCCCAATCCATGTTTTACCAGTGTAGCAAATCCACAGCTAAAATATCCGTAATCGATGGCCATCCATCCTCTGTTCAAAAACCCCTAATGAAAGAGAGAGTCCATTACTTTAAAAGAAGATCTGTTCCATTGTCAAATAACATCAACATTTTCTTTCTAATGCTTAACTGGAATTTGCTTTCATGCAATCTGAATCCTTATGTTTGGGATCATCCCTTTTGAAAAGCAGTAACTAAGCTTACTGCATCTTTGTTGCAATAGCTCTTCAAATATTTGATAGTGGCGATCATGTCTGGAACCAGTATGCTTTGTATCTGCCCCTTGCTTGAAACCAGTGTGACAGATGAAGAATGAACAAAAAATCAACAGAAGCAGAAAAAGGCCACCCCCAATCTTCTGTCCTGGCTGGCAGAGATTAGGAAATTGTGTTTTCTCTGTCACTGTCTCTTCTCCCCCATTCTGTTTGATTGCTTTGTAAGTAATGTTCTTGCACTTTGTCCTTTTTTGTTTTCTTTTAAATGTGTCCCTCCTCTCTCTGGGATTAAAATCAGAATGAGCAGTTATGTCTTGAAGGAAAGTGAAGGATAGGTGTGTGTATCCTTTGTAATTTGCTCTGAAGGAGCTACAAAGCGCTATTACATAAATCTTCTGGGAAGCTATGGTTAGGTGTGCTGTTTTCACTCCAGAGTTCTCATAATATTGTCTTTCTCCT